TCGTCGAGTTCGCTCCTGCTTTATTTACGCAGGTAAGACAAAGTGCATAGTCAACACGACGCGCGGCAAAAGAGCGGCTTGAGTGCATTAAAATCCTGTTTAAGGCAAACAATTGCGCGCGCGTACTCCTTCTCCCTTTAATCCTTCAACCGTGTGACGCGAGTTATTATAATAATTACTCCAAGTCCTACGAGGAAGCGGACGAATATTTTTCATAAAGCTTCAGTGTACTCCTTGCCTCGGTCGTTTTCACGATCAACCTTCTTCTCTCTCGTGTCAGTGACTTATATTTTATCCGAATAAACCTCTCCGATCCAACATCTCTAATAATGCTGAAATTCTTTTTATTCAAACGTAAGAGAGCTGTTATCTGTCATAATTTGCCGCATAAAAGTATAAGATGCAACTTTAGCGCTGCTCGGCGCCGCTATATTTTTCTTCGTCCTTGCAATATTATACCTATTTTTATAATTTTCCGCCGCGATCGGGCAACTATATCCCGTAACTATATCCTCCGCATCGGCGCGGTCCTGCAATTTCGCACTAGAAAAAGTTTAATTACTCCCGGTGCCAGGGACATATCCTGGTGTAAACATACTGTCCGCGCGTCGGTTGTACAAGCGAGAGACAGGCAGTTCTGCTCTCGACTAAATTCTTTCATGAAGGGAACGCAGCAAAGCCGAGACGTAATGTCCGCATTCACTTGGTCGCCGGATGTCATTCCGCTTACTTTCTCTCTCTCTCTCTCTTTCTCTCTCTTTCTCTATTCCTCTCTCTTTCTCTTTCTATCTTTTCTTTCTTTTTTTTTTTTTTACTTTTGCAGTCCGCGAGACGGAGTTTAAATTGGTCCGCTTTCCGCCGGCAATCAAAGTCTAATCAAACTTTAACGAGTATCACGAATGCTCCCTGGGTACCCGTCAAGCCGAGAATTCCAGCTACCTTTTGTCTTCTGCAGGACTGCGGATAACAATGGATTTACGATCCTTTTAAAAATTTCAACGACGCCGACGGTGGCCGATCCAAAGAACGGTACACCGGGATTACACCGGCTGCTTCTTTTTGTCGGTCTTTCTTGCGCGCGCGACCGGTTTGCGCGAAATTTACTGGCTTACCTCGATCAATGGTTCGATGATCTTTTCTTTCCATCTAATTGGATTGTCTAATTGGTTTCAAAGTAATGTTATCGCATATTAATCGAACCATTCGGTTTCTAACTGAGAAACGTTCGGCTCCTAAGATTTTACTGTCGATGTTTTCTTATAGCAATGTGTGCAATCTTCTATTTCTTATTAACAAACTTCGGCCGTTATGTTTTCACGGGGTGAAATTTTACGTATTAATGCCATGCGTCTTAAACGTCTTTTTCTAGGGAGCTCTTAAGAAGCACCTCTCTTGAATACATCCTTTCGCTCACTAACATTTGCATAATGGACTTTTGCCGAGAATTTATTCGCTCGCAATTTACGCAAGCACGCAACGCTTTTGACGAATATATCGTCGAGATTGTTAATTCCAAATACCAATTTATTCCGACAAACAATTGGAATTCGAATTCAGAATACACTAATATTACGTGTAATGTATACTATCCGTTTTAATTTAACCGTATAGTAGTACGATGTTGAATGCAAAATAAACCGCGCGTGAATGCACCATCGTGTACAATTATACCGAAAATTTAAAATGCTAAAAACACTGCGGAAAAGGTTGTTTTTGTTCTTGTATTTTTTCCATTATTTTAATGCAGTTTTGTAATTTGCGTGGAAATCAAATGTCTTAAAATTCTCGTTAATGATTCGAGATTTTCTTCGTCGCTTTGTCGTAATATGCAATATTCCCGCAGAGCAGTCGTTTAACCGAGCCCAAAATACGTAAAATATAATTTGCTCGAAAAAAAGCATTAATTTGCCAAGCGGATGCGTATAGCACATAATACATATCATTTCTTCTTTATATATAATTATATTACTATTATGAAATTATTTTCTAAACTAAATTGGTTTTGAAATATTATATAATTATATATTTTAATCTAATAAAATACTATACGTATTATACATTTATAGATCTATAAATAATAAAAGAAATGTATTTGTTATAATATAATTAACTATTATATATTATAAATCTGTCAAGAATTTATAGTATCTTTAGCGTCTAGGCTATTCTTTGTATAAATATATACTATTATTGCTAAATTATAAAAAATTATATAGTATTTATATTTACGTCTAAAATATTTCAATAATTCATGATTAGTAAAAAACGCAATTTATTTACAATATTAGGGTAATCATGTTGAAAAAAAATATATTTGTTACCGCCTCGTGCTAACTACAACTGCAAACGACAAACCGGAAGCATCAAAGTTATAGCCTGTACTTGTAGTCTAGGAGCGATCTCATTTACACCGTTTCATTTCTTTGAGATCCTGAATGGGCCGCGGTCGGTTTTAAAGCGCTAAACGAGCTTTAAAAGGCGCATCACACAAATACACGTACACACACACACACACAGTCGTCTTTTCGTATTTTTAACTAAGCTGCAAGCTCGTCGCTTCAGAAATTACCGCTCGTTTAAGCTTTAGTTATCGCATGTAATGTAATAGCAGAGTGTGGAACTTGTATTCATAATATTCGCCATTATTGATACAGCTATTGCAATGTAAAATGACAATAACGCATTTTGATAATGCATGAATGCCATCTATTATGTTAATTATAATTTCGCCATATTTCATCTCGCGGTATTGCGCATTTTAGCAAATTAAGCCGTATTAAATTCTAAAGACTTGTATTTGAAATGATAACTTGCATAGATTACGTGATTTCGGCTTAAGGAAATTCGAATGAAATGATTTACGACAAGTACACGTGAGAGAATACGAGAAAACCCAAAGACAAAAGAATATGGTTTTTAATGCCCATAGTGTCCCATATATACGAGCCAGTTTATATTTATACATTCACGAGCCTATTCGTAACAATATTCCAGATAGAAAATGGACTTTTGCACGGATACTTCTTATAAGGGAGCATTAAGAAGTGTCTTTGTAAATATGCATTAATTGATAATTATATTCTCTGTAAAACTTGCTAGAAATGCGTACAAACAGATACTTACACACGCACGTGCACACGCAGAAAATACGGATCAGCAGGAGGTGTTCATATATTGCACAAATATAACAGGAATG